TTTGGGCTTCACCTATAGTAATTGTAGACAAGAAAGGTGGTAACGAAAGGATTTGCATTAATTATCGCAAATTAAATGCTATTATCAAAGCCAATACTTATTCCTTATTTTTTTTTTTTTTTTTTAACGATGTGGTATTGTCTTAAATTTATTATATTTATGTTGAATTATTACAAATAAAAGTAGAAAATAAAAACTAATTTAAAAGTAAAACAATAAAAAATTAAACTAAGATTATCCCCCGTGATTCTGTTACAAACCCATTTGGATTGACCAATCACTGGACAATACTTATTTTTTATCCTGAATCGATGACTTGTTAAAAAGTTTTAGAGCCACCCAATAGTTTACCATATTGGATCTTGTAAGTTGATACTAGTAAGTGATCATGAATGAATTAGATATAAAAAAAATAGCATTTATAACACTTTTCAGACTATATTAATTTTTAGTAATGCCTTTCAGATTAAGTTATATACCTGGAACTTTTCAATGATTAATGAATAAAATCTTGCAAGACTTTCTCAGAGATTTCGTTGCTGTATACTTAGATGATATAATAATTTATTCAAAAAAAAGTTTCAAAATGCATATGGACTATATATGCTAAGTGTTTGAAGCTATTCAAAATATAAACTTAAAAATTAAGTTAAAGAAATGTTATTTTTGCCTACTAAATATCCATTTCTTAGAATATGTAGTAGGATGAAATGGAATTTGCTAAACCCTAAAAAAATAATTAAAGTCAAGAATTTTCTAAAACTAATAAACCTTATACAACTTTGTGCTGCTCTCAGACTATTTTCATACTATCAGAAGTTTATCAAAGATTTTTCAAGAATTGCTCAACTTATATTCACTTTATTAAAAAAAGACAAATCCTTTCTTTGAGAAGATAAACAACAGATAGCATTTGATAGATTAAAAGAAATATTAATCAAAGCTCTGATCTTAAGTTATCCTGATTTTAATAGATCTTTTATTATTTATATAGACACATCTGAAATAAGTCTGAGAGCTGTTCTTTCATAAGAATAATCAGATGAAAAGGAACATATCATTGCCTATACAAGTAAAAGTTTAAATTCAGCTGAAAAGAATTATGTTATTACTGATCAAGAATGTTTAGCAGTTATATAGGCTATAAGATATTTCTAGCATTATTTAGAGATAAAACCTTTTGTACTTGTAATTGATTATTTAACTTTGAAATGATTACAAATCTTCAAATTACTTAAAGGTCTAAGAGCAAGGTGGGTAATGAAACTTCAACAATATGAGTTCACTATTAAACATAGACCTGAAAAAGCTAATATAAATGCTAATACTCTATTACGAATACCAAAAGAATCAGAAATATTTTTTTTAAACTTTGAATTAGATGTTATGTTTTTTCTATCAAAAATAACTATATTACAAATAATCCATCTCATTCTGAAGAAAATAATGAATATGAGATTAAATGGTTCATTTCAATCTTTATATAGTCAGAATTAGATACTAGAAAGTGAACTTTTTGATGATTAGTTTAAGCTAATAATCACTACTGTAAAATACCAATCCTCATCTGAGAAAATGCAAGATATATATAAAGCAAACATAAAAATCAAACAAGTTACAGCAGGACAACTCATAAATAGTGGAGGATTTAGATGTAACTACTCATATTATATAGAAAACTACCACTTGCATATATATTGTAAAGCTTATAAGACAAATTTACCATATAATACTGTTGAATATAAGTGTATAATTAGGTATAAATTAAGTCAAATTTAATCAGACATGGATTCAAGATATTTGAATAATCAAATATGATAGAATGAGCCAATAGAAGTTAAAACATAATCATTAGAAACTCAGATACAAGTATTGCATAAAACACTTTAAAGACTTTCCTTCTACCTCACCTCTCTTGAATATATCTAACCTGAGTTTCCTAAATTAAATTAAAATTCTCTTTTTTTTTACTATTTTGATATTTATTATTTACATTATTTATTATTTATATTACTTAGGGTGAAAGTAAAAGTGTATGCTATATGACATATAGCCTATCATAGATATTAATCAATATAATCGTATTTATTCTTATATTATATAATAAATTATTCTCACAGAATTAATAACTTCTAAAACTATCAAACAATTTAAAAACTTTTGTATACCTTATATAGTTCAAAATAATTATTTATATAGGAATGATAAAAGAAACCCTGAAAACTATTAAGAGTAATTAGAACTCATGAAATAGAAGCTATTTTATACATAATGCATAATGATCTAACAGCTGGACATTTTATTACTGATATTATATTTGATAAAATCAGAAAGAAATATTATTAACTTTAAATATATGAAAATATTCGTGCATATGTCAAAAGCTGTAATAAATGTCAAAGAAGAGAAAAACTAAGCAAATATGAAGATTTACATTACATTGCAATACAAGTACCTTTCTATCAAATCAGAATTAACTTTGTAGGACCTTTATTTCCAATAGATAAAGGAAACAAATATATTATAGTGACTATTGATTATTTTATTAAGTGGCCAAAAGCAAAGGCTGTACCAAAAGCTACTGCTTCTTAAGTAGTTCAATTTGTTTATAAAGAAATTATTTGTAAATATGGATGTCTAATGAAGATATTAACTGACTGAAAAACTCACTTTAATAACAAAATAGTTGATAAATTAATAAATAAATTTAAGATAAAACATCTTCTATCAACCCCTTATCATCCTTAAACAAATAGCCTAGTGGAAAGATTTAATAGAACTTTATGTGAGTCTTTGACTAAAACTGTTCAAGAAATTTCAAATTGGGATTTGCAAATTGCATTAACTTTATTTGCATATTAAACTTTTAAGCAATTTACAACAAAGATATTTCCCTTTTATTTAACATATAAAAGAGATGAACGATTACCTCTTAATGAACCAATTGAGGAAAATATGACTCTAAACCAATATATAGAATCCTTAGTGAATGATCTATCACAAATCAGGGAAACAGCTAAAAACTATATGAAAAAATTACAAGTAAATAAGAAAGATTAACATAATCGCAACCTAAAGAAAATCTTTCATTTTAAAATAGAAGACAAAGTTTTATATTACCATGTGATAAAAGAAAAGCAATGGTTTAAAAAATTAGAACTAAAATAGAAAAGACTATACTACATTCATCAAATCTTATTAAATGGATCTTATAAAATAAAAGAGATGAGTGGAAAAGTTTTACAAACACTTGTTAATGAAAATCTTTTGAAATAATGTTATGATCAGCAAAACTGAAAACCTCAAATAGTTATATAATTTATTTATTCTTTTATTATTTGTTTAAGTTTTTTTTTCTCTTTATTTTATATTTTTTTATTATGTCTTTAGAAGATTTCAAAAGTGATTTAAAAAGAAAAATTTTCCAATAATCCTATCTTTACTATACCTTCTTATACAGAAAATATAAAGCTAAAAAGAAAGTTTGAGATAACTTATCATATACTAAGAAGAGCCTCAATCCTTAGAAACTGTATATTAATGATAACAAATGCCTTTTATTTAGGATAATTATTAGAAAAGGAAACTTCTTCTTTAGCTCAACATATTTATTTTAAAGGCATGATAACTAAGTATTATTATACTGCATTAATACGAACTTATTTTATCTTTAAATTCCTAGGACCAGAACAAATTCAACAAACTTAATACTTAAGTCTTCTTGAAATATACTCAATAAAGAATAATTATTAATCTCTAATGGAAAAAACAATGTTGTCATATTTAACATAATTAACATATCTTTTAGTTCTGTTATTATTGTCAATAGTATTATAACTACTATAGATTTTCTTTAATTATAATTTTCTTATATAAAGAGCATGAAAATACCTTGAGAAAAAGACAGACCCTAACATTGTACTCAATATACATTTAATAACAATAATAAATAACCTTAAGATTTTGCAAATATAATACTTATAATTTTATTCATATTAACTAGATAAACTCTCTAATTAATAGTGTGTCAAGTTGATTGAATTTAAGTCAAAGCTATTGCCTTCTTGACTTCAAATCTAGTTAACTTATTTGATAAAAAGAGTAACATTAACAACATATATTATTCGATCACTTTCTAACCATTTTTAGACTTTTATCAACTTGCTTTATTTTCTCACACCTAATTTTTTTTCTTTTTACATTTTTTTCTTTTATTTATTTATTATACATATAACTTTTACACAACTTCTAATACAAGAAGAAATAAGTAATTTGCAAAAAACTTTACTTATTTTAAATATTAAATGAAATACTTCTAAACGATTATAAGTTATTAATCATTTTAACAAAAATTATAGAATAACTAATTCTATTGAACAAATAGATTCTTTAGAAGATTTAGAAAATTATCTTTGTTAATTTATTATATGGTTATAAAAAGAAGATGGTTCTGATTATAAGGTTGAATCTATTTATAATTGTTATAGTGTATTGAATAGATATCTTAAAAAATATAGTATTCTTTAACCAATAAAAATCTGAGATCATTACAAATTTTCTCATGCTCATTGTATGTTAAATAGAAAATAAGAATCTTACAAAGTAAAGGTTTAGGTGATTCTGAAAAGTCTGATAGATTGTTTGCTAAAAAAATTAAACAAATACTTAATCATTTATATATAGATATTAATTTAAATGAATTATTTACACATCAAATTTTTTTCTGATTATATTTATTATGTGGATTATATGATAAAGATACATATAGACTTTGTAGAAAAGATCTTAAACTTTGTCAGAATGAAGGCTTAAAACTTATATTACATAAAGAAAAAATAATTAGGGTGGTATTTTTTTAGAAATAAATATGAAAAATCAGGATCATAATATATTTCTATACTCCTGATTTACCTGGTAATCAATATATACCTATAAAAGATATTTTTTTTTATTTTTATCTAAATTATTACATTTAACTTTACCACAAGATCCTTTATTTTATGAAATATGTACAAGTAAAAAAGGTATGTTATAATATATAGTATAATATATTTAATATGTTTATTATTCTTATAATTTAATTATTAATTATTTTTATATAAGATTTATGAAAGGGTAATTGGTTTAAAAATACTCTAATAGGTTATACAAAACTTAGAAAAATGATAAATGATATTGCAGTAAATATTAGAATTAATTTTAATAAAGGATGTAAAATTACAAATTATTCTTGTCATCATACTGCAATTTAAATGTTAAAAATAATAGATTTTCTGATTCAGATTTACAATTATCTTTTAGTCATTAGTCTTGTGAAAGTTTGACAGATTATTGTAAAACTAGTGATTATCATCAAATATCAAATACTGCAATATTAATTTCTTTTTCATTAAATGAATGTAATTTATCTTCTAATAAAGATATAAATAATAAAAAATATAAGATTTTAAAATATTTAAATATTATTTAAAATATTTTTACTTTACATAATTTAAATTTTAAAATATTTATAACAATTTAAAAAATTCAAGTTACTCAAGAAATTCCAGTTCAAGAAATTCAAGTTTCAAAAGTTCGAGAAATAAATAAATCTAATGTCAAGTCAAAAGCAATTAATTTTTCTATAACTCAAGAAATTCAGGTTTCTACAATTCAAAAACTTAAGTTAAGGAATCTCATAATCTATCCAAAATAGCACTTTTAAACCACCTTGTTATCTGGATTCTCCAATATTAGCCTATTATATAAAACATTAAAAATCATTATCTTTGTTAATAATTATTATTAAACTTCCTCTGATTACTTCTTCACAAAGTTATAGTTTAAATATTAATTTAAAAATTTCCCTATAATTAATTTTTAAAACTATGATTTTATTATAAAGTAAATGAAAATTTGTGTATCACATTAGAAAGTAATTGAATAATATATATTAAAGATGTTCAATATTTATATAAGACATGTCTGATAAAATAAATTATATTAAATTATATTTATAATTTTAGTTAAAATTATCAAATTAATTTATAATTTAAAAAAATTTATTTAATATACCAAAATTGTAAAACTTTATTTATAAAATCAATCTAATTATATCTTATTAATTTTTCCTAATAAATGAAATAAAATTTAATATAATGATAGATTTTTTAATAATTGATATCTTCTATTATTTAAAATATTTTTGTAAATTGAAAAACTATGTTTAATATTTACATTTAAATTGAAAGTTAAATATAAATTAATGCTATATTAACTAATATTAATAAGATATTTTTTTTATTCAATATTTTTTTAAATCAAAATCCTCTTCTGAATTAATTATTTCATTAAGATTATTATAAATTTCCTATTCAAAAAATCTTTTTTACTTTATAAGTTAAATATTATTTTTTTTTCAGTAAAATAAATTCAGATTTTATTAACTCAAAAAAAATTTTTTAGTAGCTTCCTTTCTTTTTACTACAAACTATCTATATATTTTTTTAATTAATTAATTAGTTACTACTTTTTTAATTATAAATTATAAGTAAATACTTTTCTTTTTATTAATTTGATTTTACAATAGTATCACTTAAATTTATTTATTATTAAAAAAATATATTATTATTATTAAATATAATATTTAATTAAGTTATATATTTTTAAAGTATTTAAATATATAATTTGTTTACTTTACTAATAGAATATCTGATAATATTAAAATTTTAATCAAATCACAATTAATTTAATTTTATCAGATATAAACTGCTAAATAGTTCTAATTAAAGTTTGTCATAAATTATTAATACTATTTTACATATTTTATATATTTTTAATTTAAATGATTATCAAATATACTTTTTTATATAGTTAAGAACTTCTTTATATAAATAGCAAAAAAGTTTAACTCTATCTAAATATATATTATCTTTGTATTTAGATTTTTTTTGCATATTAGATTACATATTTCATTATGATTAATTGAATTTATTAAAAAATAATTAGTATTGATAAATAATCAGTAATTAAAGATCTTAATAATTAATATAAATTAAGATGTTTTACTACAGATTATATTATTATATGATTTATATAGAATTTTTTAAATTATGTGAAAATATAATACTATATGTTAAATTTTAATATTATATATATATATTATAATCTTTAGTGAAAAGAATAATGAAAAGTTTTAATAAATAACTTTCAAAAAATTTTTTTATTTTTAAATAGTTTTGATTAAGAAATTATATATTCAAAAAATTAAAATATAAAAAGTATTTTTCTTCTCTGTTAATCTAAAATTAAGTTCAAGTTAAAATACTAAAATTAGAAAGTTAGTTTTTTTTTTATATTAATTTAACTTTATACTTTCTATTTCTTACTTTTTTAGTTAGAATATATTATTTTTATTATAAATTTTTAGCTAAATATTTTTTTATTAATGAATAAAGCTTATTAACATAGTAAAATTTTTTGTAATCTTAATTTTAATGATCAAATACTCAGATTTGATAATCATAAAAATTTATTCATATTAAAATATGTATATAATAATACGCATAAAATTTAAACTAGTAATACATATAAAATACTATATAATTATTTATATAAATTCTTTCAAAAAAAGTTAATTACATTGTAAAAGATTACACTGTTATTCTTTCTGCTAGAGACTATATATTATAGCATAATTTTAAATACTTTTACTTTTTAGTAACTATCTAAGAGAATTATTAGACATATTATATACTCAATTATTATTCTTTTTTGAATTACATAAATATTTTATATATATATGCAATAAAATATTATTAGTTTATATGAATTATATCTGCAGAATGTGTTATATATAGTAAAGGATATAAAATTGATTACCTAAAATATATAATACTATATCAGAAAAAAATTTTGTTAAATGAATAGAAACTTTTTTCTCATTAGATTTGAAAATAAATAATAGTAATTAGAGTATTTTTTAAAATGAGATAGAACTTTATAATTTTTTTCTAGTTTATTAATTTATAAAAATATAGAAAAAAATCATCAGATTAACAAAATAATAAAATGCAATATGTAATTACTAATAAAAATTCAGGAATTATTTTTTTATATAGAATTTATCAATGTTATAAAAAAGAAAAGTTTAATAAATTATGTTGATAAAAACATTAATAAAGTTATTATATCTAATATATCAAATTTAGAATAAAATAATATATTATCATTTAATAAATTTTCTCTTAATAATATTAAATATTTGGATTATAATATTATTAAAAGTCTTAATGATAAAACTATTAAAGAAATTAATATTTCAGAATTAGAATTATACTCTAAATATTTTAATAAAATTTTAACACTTTTTTTTATAATTATTCCCTTTACAGTCATATCTTACAGGACTAAAAATAAAAAGTATGATTATAATAGAAAGTGATTATATAAAAGGATTTTTATATATTATTACTAAATGTTAGTTCTGAAAGGATATGATTATAAAATATTATAATTATAAAGTGTTTTTATATACAGTCTTCGCCAAAAGTAATGGTGATCAATTTTTATAACTTAACACATGCGATTTATTAATAAATCTAATTAAAATTTTTTTAAATAAAATATGAATATTAATTATACTTGCAACTTTTATTAATTAATTAGTATTTAGTATGCACTTCTTCTGCATCAATGCATGCTATAATTCAATTTGGCATACTATTGATGCAGTTAACTATTATATCATCATCAAAATCATTCCATTCTTTTTAAATTATATTATAAAAAATTTTAATTAATATTTTTTTTCTGCGCTACTATTTCTTAATCTTTATCTTAACTTTTCTTTTTAAATAGTCCAAACATTTTCAATCAGATTAAGATCTGGACTATAAGATAGCCATAGAAGAACTCGACCTAGAAGATGAGTTTTTAAGTCCCTTTGAACATTATGGGATTGTGTTTTAGGTCATTATCTTGCTGAAAAATCCATCGATGACCCAATAATTTATTCACATTATTATAGAACTGATCATCAAGAATTCAGCAATATAAATGATGATCAAGATTTTTGGTAAACTTGTGTATGCTAATTCTTCCTTTAACATTGATTGCAGTCTAAATATGCACTTTAAAGGAGTGCTTAACTATGAGTTGAACCAGTTTTTCATTATAGAACCATATAAGAGTTGTGTTATGAAATATTTGGCTGTTATTTTGTCAGAAAAAATCACCCTTTTCTAATCGTATTGCAAATGGTCTTGTGTCTAAGACAAGTGAATGTCTTTCACTTTTTGGATTAAAAGAAGAACTTTTCATGAAAGAACTGCTACATAATTGAGTCTAAAAAGTTTTCGATGAATAGTTATTTCACTGATTTCTAATTTCAAATCATTTTCTTCTAATATAGCCTTTAGTTCTCCAACTATAGTGAAATGATCACACTTAATGATTATTCCAATGTGTTAACATTTTACAGAGATTAATTTTTGTGAGCGGTCAGATCAATGAATTTTTGGAATATTGCTATTTTTTCGTAAAATAACAACATATCTTTCACAAGAATGTAAAGGAACTCCAGTTTAGTTAAAAATTTCCTTTGTATTATGGATATTTTATTCCAAAGATATTTTATAACTTCACGATTTGCTTTAATAGATGTCAATAGCATTTGGTATAGTGGTAATTTAGGTTAAGTTTAAAATAAACAAATAATATTTAAGATCAGGTTTTTTTGTTTATTTTATTAAAAACAATATTATATTGCTTAAATTAGCCTAATTAATAATACGTCAAATTAGAATACCAGAGAAACTGTGACCAAAATATTATTTAATATCCTCACCATCATTACTTTCAGCAGGGACTGTATCATTAATAGGTATTAGTTTTTATAAAATGTATATTTATAATAAGAGATTTATATAATGTAATTGTATAGGGTAATTATAGAAAGGAACGAATATACTCTTGCGAACATACATTTTATAGATTTTGTATTAAGAGGAAGCTTTTACTTATTATTTTGAATATATATCTATTTCTTAATTATGAAAAGAATGTTAATATTATAAAATTAACTTTTGCTAAACATAATATGAATGATTTATTATTATCTTAATTAAATAGAACTTCAGCTTTATCTAAGTTAATAGATGAAAATTTCTCTTAACTTCATTGATAATACTAGAAGATTTAATAAAAGGCTTTAAAAATGCACTATTTTAACAAACTGAAAGTTATATAAATATGTATTAAATGTACTGAAGAAATCACTTTAGATTTTCAAAAAGACAATGTTTTTTTAATCCTGTAAACATACTATTTATTACAATTGCAATGATGATTCATATAAGAAGTATCCTATCTGCTTATTAGCCATAGTAAACAGATGCAGATGTGGCAAAGTCTAGTAGTAAAAATAGACTAATGAAGATATGGATGCCAACTTATCTGCATTCAAGAATAAGGCAAAGAAACTGATAAAAAATTTAAAATAATTATATAATACTCTTATCACATAAAGAGAAAAAAGTAAAATGCTAAATCTGAAAAAAAGTTCACAATAGTAAATTACTTAAAAATATTAAAAATATTACATTAATAAGAAATTTTTCAAAAACAAAATGATATATATTATTAGTTGCAAGTAAATTTGTATATTTTTTTTTATTGTATTTCATTAATTACTTAAAAACATATAATGTTTACTCAATATAGGAATTATTTATGTAAAGAAAATCAGCAATCAAGTTAATCAATCATCTTTGGTTTAGAATCCAGTGTGATTTTCAATTTGTGCGTCAAAATATTGCACATTTATTTTATGGCAGAATGTGAGCGAATCCAAAAAAAAAAAACACACTTTACGTTACTCTTGATTTATTTTTAGATTACTAATAAAATCAATATTGAAGGGCTTCTCGGCCTATTATCGCTTATTACATGGTTTTTATGGTAAAAAAAATACTCTTATTTTAGCTTCAATTTATTTTAATTGTAAAAGAAAAAATATTGATTACAGCTATAACAAATTTCAAAAATCCCACCGCTATAAATAGAACACGTGAGAATCATTTCAATACATCATGATAACATTAATAGCTACAATTAATACTGCAATAAAAATTTTAACATCATTATGCGATGTAAGAGATGCTATATCATCTGCATTGAGAATAACAGGAGACGGTTGAGCCGTGTAAGATGGTGAAACCAAAGTTCCATTTGGATTGACCGTACCAGGTTGGTTTGGATGAGGAGTTGCTGTAACAACTGGAACTGTAACATTACTAGTTACAGGATGTTGGGGAAAATTACCGCCTATTTGAGGTTGAGGTTGATCGCCACCTATCTTTTGTTTTCCTCCAGGCAAATGAGATCCGGGTAGCTTTCCTTCTCCTAATTGATCGATCATTCCACCAAGTCCTGAAAATCCGCTTCCACTTGGTGTTTGAGCATTTGCGACACAACTTGCTATGATAAAGAGAATCACCACGGCGAGAAAAGTGATTTTATGTCGTGTCATGATATTTTGTTTTTCTTTTGAAATCAAGGATCCTTTTATTTCTTTTTTTTTTTTTTTTTACAAAAATCGATCGATGTAATTGCTTTTGTTACGGTGTGGAAAGTTTGAATAATAAAAAATTAGAGAGAAAGGTAATTTTATGATTCTTTTATATGTAATTTTGTCTGATATTTATCTCAATCTTCATAAAAATATCATATGTCGGATCAAATCATGATTAAATTAATACCAACTTTTTATTATAACGTAAATAAAATTTAGCGCACGCGTTCATTCATCTCATCAAATGATTTTTTTTTTTTTACTAAAGATATCAAAATGATTTTATTAATGTTTTAAAAATATTAAATATTAATTAATCTATATCAATGATGCATATAATCTATATCATTCGCGACATTCGCGTAATTATAAAATGAATTTGCTGCATAATAAATCTATGTGAATTTCTTATTTAAACTTAAATTATCATCCTTAAAAAAACCTAAATCATAAACTATTTCTTAATAATAATTATATAAAAAATCCTGATCCTAGACACATTTTTTGGTAGCATAGAACCTATTATGATTACAATAGGTTTTATGTTCATCTACTTCCCTCTTTATTCGTTGTATTAAATTATCAAATTCATTATTCGAAATATTTAATCTCTCACGATAAGAAACTTTTACTCTAATAAATAATTGTAAGATAATGTTCAGATAATTTTCCCCTAAAAAAAAAAAAAAAATTAAAAAATTATATTATCAATATTTTTTTTTTTTTAAAAAAAAAAAAAAAGTTACCTTTATGACCTGCCCATTTTCCAATTTGAACTTCTTGTACTTTACGATGAATATCATCCAACATTTCAGTACTTTCCATAATATCATCAAGATGATTGGTCAAAAACGGATCAATCCCTCTTTGTCTCATTAAATTATGTCCTAAAACATCAAAAAAAAAAAAAATGAAAAATGAAAAATGAACCTAATATATTCGATGATTAGAATGTTGATCCTTACCGATACTAGTAAATGTTCTAGTAGTAGGCGTAACGTTACGCCATTCCTGATCGGCTTCTTCCAATTCAAGGTACCCCCCAGGTTTTAGTATTCGAATCAATTCAGGAATTACGACATTAATCCATTCTATTTCAGTAAAATAAAACATCATATGTCTCATATGAACATAATCAAAGGTATTCGCTTCAAATGGTAAGGTTGATTTAATATCTTCCTGTATAAATTTGATATTCGAAGGAGAATTTTCAGGAAGTAATGAAATATTATCGTTATCAACACCAATGAATTCTGACGATGGAAAATTTATGGCAATATCTTTTAGCCATAATCCATTTCCGCAGCTGAAAATAATAAATAGTAAAGGAAAAAAAAAATTTTTTTTTTTCGTTTAATTTCCTAATCTGCTTAAAAAGGGGAAAAGGAATGAAAATGTTTTCGACATAAAACCTACCCAATATCCAAGACTTTAATACCACCAGTTTGTAACCATTCATGAATTGGAGCAGAAAAATCACCACCCCAATATTCCTTTAATAAATAATGTATTTCGTCCCATCTTTCTTCTTCTATTTGCGATTGATTTAATGGAACCATTGGTCTAGAAAACAAACGTAAAAATTTCCTAAGATGATTTCCCATTATTAATTAAAGAGAGTGTAAGAAAGAAAATTAAATTTTTTTTTTTTTTAGAAGAATAAAAAAAAATGGAATGGAATGGAGAAGTAAGTTTGATTTGAAGTTATATAAATAATTTAATCAGCAATTTTCATTTATTTACGAAAACATAAACAAAATAAAACTAAACAAAAAAAAAATTTCCGGTTTAATGCAAATTGAATGTCGTTCTTTTTCAATTCTACCATATATAACACTTCTTTTTCTGAATAATGATGCAGGGGAAAATACGTTTGTAAAGGTCGTGATAAATCGGAACCTCCCGAATTATTTTAAAAATTTTGACGTTTTAACTTTGCCGGTTATTTTCTTTGATAGTTTGAACAATAGATTAAGGAAATCAACCGAAAAAAAACCTAATTTATCATATAAACATTGGAATCTAACCGCTCTCTACCGAATCAATTAAAATTCGATGATGTATTAATATCAAAAAATACTCTTTTGAAGAAAAGCAACCCCCGAAGGAAACCATATACCTGGTATCGAGCGGGATTGAAGCATTTGATTCGAAGAAAGCTATTAAGATTTCGGAAAATTTCCAGAAAATTTTGTAAACCCCCTGTCCTGAGCGATTTCATTATGCATTATAATGTTGCATGTCAATTTATTGTTACAAACATGTCGAACCTAATTATAACTATCAAATGTCTGCTCTTTCGTTCTCCCTCTGAATCTTTTGAATGATTTTCGTTATAATTAAACAATGATTGCACAACAAAAAAGTAAAAAAAAAAGTAAAAAAAAAAAAAAAAAAAAAAAAAAAAAAAAAGCCTCCCATTGTTTAAAAAAGAGAGATCTTGGCGGTAGATACGCTAGAGAAAAGCCGATCTATGTTGAACAAAACCTTATTGATAATTTCCTTTTTTAGTTTTTCCTTCCATTTACCTGGTGCCTGTCACAATTGGTTGGATACAATATTCAATGAACATGACAATCCATTACACCAATTAAATTAGCAATCTCTCCACAAATGTAGTTGATGTAAATATTAACAAACATACTTGCAATGAAATACATCAAAAAAGAGTCTAAATTAAAGTTAAATCAAGTGAAACAATATAAATCTTACACACGTTTTCTTCTAATAGGCCTTCAGCAAAAACTCTTACTCCTTGCTTTACGACGTGTCTTAGGTCCCATCCATTGATCCAATTTCAACTTTTGTTCTCGCTTATAATCGCTTGTGTAAAATCAAAACGAATCAGCTTCCTATACCGGTTTGATAGACAAATAGAGATCTTGATTTAACATGCTTGTCATGGTGTTTAGTCTGTGTACCGGTTTTCCAAGAAGCAGAATAAACTCCTTAAAAATATCCTGATTTTGGTTCGACGTTCTTTAGATAGAACCTTGTGTTACACGATTCCATTGGTTGCTTTTGGGGAATGTCATTTGCTTATACATTTGTGCCTGACTTCTTTCTTTTTAGGATTTAAATAAAGATAACTTTCCTATGCCATAAATGGGTAAAAGGTTGACCATATACGGGTGTGCGACGAGGCGTATCGTTACATTTTTCATTTTCCCGAAATGAAATAATGTACCCGTTCTAACGTGATGTGGTTTAATAATGATAACAATAATCCCAAAAATAAAATTCAAGTTTATTTGTAGCCATATTTAACTAATTAGTAAGTAAGAGGATCACGTTAATCTATATTTAACTTGCGATTGGCCAATCACAAATGAAGCGCTTTATTTGGTCACCTCATTAATTTATTTGATATAAATATTTTACAAATAAAAAAAATAAAAAATAATGATGTTTTCTTCTTAATTCCTTCCTCATATTGTAAATTTTTAAGACATTATTTATTGTTTGGAAAGCTCACTAACTTTATATTTTTTGTAACCATTCTCGTCAATCTAAAGTTTATACTTTAGGTAATGTATAAACAGTAGGGTTCAGAAAAAAAAAATATTTATATATTTAATATTAACGCGTATTCTTTTTTTTTCCCTCTTCAAACGAAATAAAAACAAAGTTTTTATTTTTTTATTCTTATGCCGGAAAAATTTGTAGTACAATTACCGGCGGATTGCCTTCGAGTGATTTTTGAGAACCTTTCAGGGGATATTAGAACCTTGCGAAACTTGTTATTAGTTAATAGACTATGGTGTGAAACTGTTGTACCTATATTATGGAGGAATCCATTTAAACGCAAGCGATTATATAATTTCGATCAAGGATTTTGGACAACGATCACCAGAACTTTATTATCATGCTTACCAGAAGAGTCAATTATATTATTTAGGCATAACGGAATCAACCCTCCAAACCTTTTATTGGATGAGAAATCAGGGGATCGAAAACTTGCATTATTTGATTACTTTGGTTTCTGTCAAAATATCTCATGTCAAGATATATATGAAATAATACCGGAAATACTCGGACCGGAACATCCGACTGATATCACATGGTTTTACAATGGAAATTTAGTAGAAAATGAACTATGGAAATTATTCATGAGTAGGTGCTCAACCATCAAATATTTGGAAATACCAAACATTTCTATCGATTATTACACAAATATCAATAAGAATAGCACTAGTTTATCCTATTTGGTTGAATTAGAATGTTCCACCTATAAATCTTCTCAGCTATTTTTAGATTTGGCTCAAATATGTAAGGATATTAAAAAGATTACGGTAAATTTATGTGATAATGATAACGAAGGGTTGGTCTCATTAATTTCGATGCAAAAGGGTTTGGAAGAGATTATATTAATTTCATCAATTGAAGGATCTCAATGTACTTTAATCGGGGAAGCTATTGGCACACAGTATCCTTCATTGACCAGCATTAGCTTGGAAGAACACATTCGTATTCCTTCAACCACCTTTTCTAAACTAATCAATTTGAAACATATTCGAATCGATTTAGAAGAAAACGTTAATTCAAAAATGGAATTATTGGATAATTGTTCTTTCCCTTTCTTGGAAAGTCTGGAGATAAGGAATGTTCATGAAAAATATTTAGATCTATATACAAAATTAATTAATAATACGAACGGATCCCTTAAACATTTAGAGATTGATACAGTTCCTCATCCCTACTTATATCATATCAGACCATATTGGCAAGCATTGATCAAACATTGTACTCAATTAGAATTTGTCACCCTTTGGTTTAAAGATGATTCTTTAAATGATTTAAAAGATTTATTAAAAACGTGTGGTAGTAAAATGAAGGGGATCATTTTTGAGGCCGTGTTGGGTCAATTTAGTTGGCGTCCTTTGGATTTGAATCCTTTATTTGAAGTATTGGTGGAATTGGTTGGTGGTAATGGTACCATTGAAGAATTACATTTTAGTGGTACGTGGACCTTTAGTCCAAAAGACTTGAGAAAATTTTTAAGTCTTTGGGGAAAGAAGAATTTAATTAAAGAATCCGGTTATAAAGATCATAGGAAGATCAGGAAACCATTATACTTGAGTACTAAAGTTGATTTTCAAATATCCAAGGAAATTATCGATATTTTTGAAGAATTCGTTGAAAATGGTGTACTTAAAGGATGGTCCAGATGAATTGATGAGGGATATTTTATTAGGATAACTGTGGGAGAACAGCATAGGGAATCGAGAAAATCTTCGTTTTGCTTGAGAAATATTATCATTATATAATAATTATAATAATAAACTTGGTTATTTATTGCTTTATTTTTTTTTTTTGGTTTATTTAATTTTTTTTTTTTTTTTTTTTTTTTAAAAAAAAATTTCAATATAAAAACACAAATAATATAATAAACAAAGCATTTTCATTAAAATATATATAAAAAAATTTAATAATTCCCCCAACGACGATTATGATTATACCTATCTACATAATTATAATTAGGTATATATGAATTATATTGATTGGAGTTACTATATGAGTAATATTTAGATGTATTAGGATCTCTATTATATTCATCATAATCAATGCCATCATCTCTCCTGTTTCTACTGTTTCTACCCCTAGTATCTCTACGCTTTTTATAATTCTTTCGATTATATGGACATTCACTAACGACATGATATGCATTACAAATTCTACATCCCCTTGGTTTTGGGAATCCATTCTTCTTCAAATAATCTTCCCACTCAGCCTGTCGATGCCTATAGAGTATCATGGAAGCTCTTGCATCTTCAATTGAGTCATGTTCACCTTCTTGAATATTGATCCCTAAAACATTTTTAGCCAACTTCTTTAAAGAAACTGTGTCTCGATCTAAACAAAAGATACTATTATAAAGTGATGTGTCTCGGACCAAATAATCCGGATGGTTGGTTTTAAGGGCCTATAAGAAATTGCAAAAGTATTTGTGATCGAATTGGTATGAAATATCATCTGATCTTAAATTGTTTATTCCTTACCTTGAAATCAAAGTAAATGGACTGTCCAACTACTATGTGACCTCCCATAAGTTGTTCAACTTCTTTTTGTACTTTATTAAATTCAATTGCTATCAATCATAAATTTATAAATTAATAAGATACAATATCTTTCCAAAAAGGACGAGACGTAGAACAAAAAGTTTACCATTAATTAATGATTCAGGCGTAATTCCACTAAATTTAGTTCTGTAGTCGGTAATTCTTCTGGTAATTTTGACAAATTTATCCAATAATATTTCACCGTAATAATTTACTATGCTAACTCTCGCTAATACAGACGTTTTCCCCTTTTCACCAACCCCAACCATTTCACAATCAATCGCAATACAATGATTGTTTTCATGTACACGTGGTAAACTACAGCATGATGCAAAGATTATAAATTTGGATTCGTTTAAATGAAAAGATTTTTTTTAAAAAATGGAGTCAATAAATACCTTCTTGAGTTCAAGTAATCAAACCATAATTCCGATGTTGGAAGTTTCAAGTCTGGTTCATAAGTGGACTCGATTTGCATATCTGGAATTATATATATCATTAATCTTTGACTTTCGGTTTCTCTGGAGAATCGATTAGTAACAGCA